GTTACATGCAAAGATTTGCAAGGATTTTGGGATATGATGTACATGGAGATAAAAAATTGTGATTTAAGATTTGAAAAATTAGAAAAACTTCGTTCACAAGGTTGGAAAGAAGAAGAAATGGTTATTGTTAAACCAATTATTAAAAAAAAATATTATTAAAAAGAAAATTGTATCTACCAAATCAAGTTCCATTAGAGCTATTTTAGCAGAAAAGAAAAGAAATATGGCAGAAAAGATAAAAGATAATAACAGTACAAATGAACTTGAATCTAATTTGAATCATGATAATAATGAATGTAAAAACATTGAAAGTCCTAATATGCAATATGAAAAAAAATCTAAATCTATTGAATCTAAAGAAAACAAATTTACACCTGTAAAACATAATAAGAGATCAAGTTTATTACAAAAGGTACAATTATCTGATTTATCAATGAAAACGAAAAGTCCATTAACAATGATAAAAATAAGTCAAATGTACAAAGCACCAAAAATAGAGTTAGATAATTCAATATCTTATATTAATTCTAATCAAACACCTGGAAAAGGTATATTAAAACAACGAAAGAATTTAAATGAAATAGAAAGTCATACAAAATCAATAAATAAAGTTAATTTTGATGATCAAATGTCTTTAAATGAAACAGAGGAGACAATAATAAATTCAACTGGTGGAATAGTAAATAGTTTTGATTTGAATAATTCTGATGAAATAGCAATTAAAGTAGAAAGGAAATTGCTTTTTGATGATACTAATTTTAATGATTCTCTAAATGATGCTAAAAAAAATTCAAAAAATAAAAACTCTATAAGTAAAAATATTGATGGAACACTATCATCAATAAATATAGAAACATTTACACCTTTACAAGAACAAAAAAATGTTAATAAAACATCAAAAAAAATCATAAAACAAAATGCAATTGATAATGAAAATGATGCGATATTGAATCAAACATTTGATACAAATATTAGTTCCACACCATCTAAAGAATTATAGATGATAAGGATTTAAATATATTAAATGAAAAACTAGAGAAGAATGTTTGTATAAGTAATACGGAAGAAATAGATGAACATAATGGAAGTGTAAGAGTTTTAAGAAATAGAATTGTTACTTCAACAGATACACCTAGAGCTAAAAGAAGATCTTCAAAGAAAATGTCAATTAATGAACAAGAACTGGAACATAAAGAAAATGAAACTCCTCTAGAGAGAAGAACAAGAAGAAGTCGTATTAATATCAATACTGGGGAAAGAAGAAATATAGAGTTAGTGTGTCACAGTTGTAACGATAATAAACATTTAGAAAAGAATAATGACAAAAGAAAATCTACTAGAAGCGTAAAATTTTCTGGTATTAATAATTCTAAATATTAAGTAACATTTTTTATAATACAATGTTTAAATGAAAATATTTTATTTTTTAGATAAAGAGCCTAATGATGAAACAAACAAATCAATCCTACCTTTAACTCCTCATGTTAGAAGGAGTAAAAATAGAAATAGAAGAAGTACACTTTTAGAAGATTCTGCTTCTTTAGAAATAGAAGAGAAACGTAATAATTTTTAAAAATATTTGTTAATTCGAGATTTTATTTAGACATTTTATATTTATATATGATTAATTTCGTTTCAGCTCCACAACGTGTTAGAAGGTCGCAAAATAGAAAACCTTCAATTTGATAGTAGTAATGTAAAAACTTGTATGATTAATGTACAAAGATATAAGTTTTCATGATTTCTAATTTTTATACATGTTAATTGTTACTTTTTTCTTTCTTTTTTTTTCCACTCTCAAAAGTTTAAGATACAAGCATGGATTATTTTCATCATAACTATTTTTTATAATCGTTTAACTTCCACATTTTTATATTTAATATATATGAGATTAAATATCATTTAATTAACAGATATATTTTAATAAAAATGATAAATTCATACAAAAAAAATTGTGTATATTGTAAATTTACGAGTGTGATGCGTATGTACATATTTATAAAATTTTTATAATATGTGTATACTATACATGATATTGATGATTAATAATTTCTATTATGATTTGAGATACAATTAAAAATAGATTTAATAATTTTTTTATCATTTTATTGAAATTTTCTGAAATTTCATTTTGTAAATGAAATTTATGCAAATGAATTCAATAACGTTTATATTTGAAAAAAAATTAAAATTTTATATAATAATTAAATTGTTATGACATAATTCAGTTGAATTAAATCGTTATTCAATAAATTAAATAAACTAACATAAATGCAGATAATATTTCTACAAAATTGTAAAAAGTGTGAAAAAAAAAGAACAAATCTAAAGAAATAGAATTAATTTACCTACCTAATACTTATTAAATTTATTAATAATTAAATATTAATAAATTAATAATTAATAATTTTTATTATTCCATATGTTAGAATAATTGTATTAAAAGTAAGAAACTGTACATATAAGAATTTTTAATAAATAATATGCGATAAAATAATACGAATAAATATTTCTATAAGATGTCCTAATGATATAGTTAATGATACAATAAAAAATTTAAAACATTAAAAAAACAAACATAAATTTAAATAATTCTTCATTAGATTTAAATGAACTATTGGCTAAAATAACTAGAAAGTTATTCTACATAGGAAAATAATAAAAAATATAATATAATTTTTTTTTATTTAGTTTATATTATTTATATTTTAATTTATTTACATATTAAAATCAATATTAGGTACAATCAAGAACTGGTTAAACGCCTAAGCATTCGATAAATTATAAAATTTTATTTTCCCAAATAACTTTCAAATAAAAATATATAATATTTTTGATGTATTTTTGCTTAAAATCTTCTTGATTGTATCATTCTATAGATATGTGCACATATCTTTCTTTACGCAAACTATTCGTTGTAATTTTTTATGTGATTGAAAATAATTTATAAGTTTAAAAAATAAAATAAATATTTAAATACAATTTAAACAGCGAAATAAAACATTTTTTTCAATTGATTTAATGAAAAATAAATAATAATTTTAATAAGAAAAAATATAAAAATTATATATATATAATATTACAGTATTACATTATTATAGTATATATTATTATATAAAACTATATATATTTTCAAAATGTGTAAAAGAAGAAATAATTTTTCATATATAAAATATATGTATATATAAAAGATATATGCGAGTATTTTAAAATAGCATTACTATATATATATATATATATATATATATATATATATATATTATTA